TACCCCAAAAAAAAATCATTTTTACCCCATTTTGGGTAATTTACCCCGGTTCCCCGACCGCTGGTCTAGGGGGTGGTTTTCCAGTCTGTTCTGGTAACGGGCACTGAATATGGGGATTTCACTCTTAACAGTGTTCATGTGGAGGTCGTTGTGTATCGTGTCGTTCGTCACGTACTAGGGGGCCTGCACCAGGGTTCACAGGCACTTGGACTGGAAGCGTTGCAGGATCTCTATGTTGGAATTGCTGGCTGTTCCCCAAAGCTGGATGCCGTACGTCCACACTGGCTTCAGCACTGTCTTGTATATCAGTAGTTTATTTTCGAGGGATAGTTGTGATCTTCTTCCGATTAGCCAATACTGTTTCGCGAACTTGATGCCCAGTTGCTTCCTCTTAGTTGCGATGTGCTTCTTCCACGTGAGTCGGCAATCCAAGAACAAACCCAAGTATTTGGCATCGTCGGCCTGCCGGATGATTTTGTTGTTCATTGTGACCGGGTGCAGGATCCCTTTCTGAAGGTGACATGGATTTGGTTTCGTTGACTTTGATCCGCCACTTCCTGAGCCAACTCTGGTACGCGTCGAGATGACTCTGGAGTCCACGCACATCAATAACCGGATCTACGTTGGACGACAGGATCGCGACGTCATCGGCGTAGGTAGTAGCTATAGTGGTTTCCTGTGATGTCGACAGGTCGCATGTGAATAAGTTATACAACATCGGTCCCAGGATGCTTCCCTGTGGCACGCTCGATTCGATTGGATACAGCTGTGTTACTTCACCCTCCATCTTCACTTGGAAGAATCTATCACACAAAAACGACTTTAATATGTTGTAAGGCTTGTGTTATGTCGAGGAACACAGCGGAGCAGAACTGCTTTTCCTCCATGGATTGTCTTATGTCGTTCGTCACGCGATGGATCTGCTCGACGGTGGAGTGATGTCGTCGGAATCCGAACTGGTGGTCCGGAATCACATCCTCCTCGGACAAGAATGGACGGATCCTCCGAAGCAATAACCTCTCGAAAACCTTGAACATCACCGGAAGCAGGCTGATGGGTCGGTATATTTACAAATATAGTCCGCATTTACTTCATGGTGAAAATTATTTATTTGTAAAGGATTCTACAAAAAAAAAAGGAGCATCAGTTAAATATCTTTCAATGTATGCAAATGTATTCAGGCCAGTCCAATTTATAACAGTCTACTATTTTTTTTTTCTTTTACCTCGTTCACCTCCCTTACTTTGAGCAAGAAATAAATTGAGCGCGTAATATATTACACGATGTAATTGAATTTAGGTCCGTCTATCTGGGAGATGCATCCACCTTAATTAGCTCAGGAATTCTGTAAACATAAAGATCAGGGCGATAAAACAAACTAAGCTACAGCCTTTCTCTCTCTCTCTCTAAATGTCCAATTCCAGTTACTGAATCTGCTGTAATTAACTGTGAAGCTCTATGTTTTTGGGGGTCGGGATGGTGGTGGTTGCTGGTCGCTTTAAATAAATTCCGCGCATCCCGAATCCTCTCCCTTTCCTATTGTCGGGGATTTATTAGTAAGATAAATTAATTCGTTCCTAAATAATTTCCACGAACGCTAATTAACAAAATACAATAAATGCGGAGTGTCCGTAATGGGTTATATAGTAGTAGTATAGTATGAGTGCGTGCGGATGGTGTAGATGTCCATGATCATTTATCATTCCAGTTGTTATTAGAAATACATATATGGAGTGAGTGAAATCGGAAAGCGGCCATTTAATAAACTATTAATAATTCTCGCATTGACCAAATTAATTTATTATCTGTGTATAAATCTGGCGGACGGGGAAAGGCCGATAGTGCGATCATACATTAAAAATCATTAATCATGATTCTCTGTTTGCAGGGTCAACTCAAGTTCATTACATTAAACAATTCGCATTTAATGAATACAAGTTAAAGTTGGGAATTTGTTAATACCACAAAAGCTATGATTCAAAGGCATTGTTGAAATTCAGTATTTTTAGTTGTTCAGTTATTAAACATTAAAAAAAAATGAATATTCATTATTTTAAATAACTCATTTATACTATAATTATGTAAATTACTTAAAATTATACCTTTTTTAATTACTAAATTAATTTAAACTGGAATTATATTAAACAATGCAATTATTGGAAAATGTTACAAGATTTCCATAAAAAATAAAATGTATGCGATAAATCAATCAATAATTAACGTTTTTCTTAATTATTTTTGTAGACGTAGACAGTTTTTTTTTGGTGAACCATTAAAATTCTTACGTTTTTATCGTTACTACGATCATGAATAAATAAATTATAGTAGGAATCTCTTCATGATCGGTAAAGAGTAAATTTTTAAAACTCAGTAACCTCTGTAAACTCTGCACTATTAATGGATTTGTTCTTCAATAATTATATACAAAAATAACAAATCATACCTTTTTTGAAAGAAATAGCGACGGGTAATAAAAAAAATATTATTTTTTTATTTTAATTAATTCCTATAGAAACATAAATATTAATTAAAAATTATATTATATATATAAGAAAAAAAAAATTTCAATACAAATTTAATATCTACGTATAAAAATATAATAATTATTAAGAAAATAAGTTCTAATAAATCTAATTTTATGATGATGATGTAGTCTAATAGTAATTACAGTATTAGAGGAAGCAATAAAAAGATGAATTGCCACGTACCTGATAAAAATTATTAAAAGCTATCTCAGCAAGCCCTCCATAAGGATCGTGAGCGATCTGGGCTAGAAATTAATGGAGGTAAACAGCGGATTGCCGCAGGGATCAGTGTTAGGTCATCATCTTTGGAATTTATCATACGATGGAGTGCTAAGAATAAAGCAACCTGCAGTCATAATAGTGATAGGTTACGCGGATGACCTGGCAGTAGTCGTTGTGGCAAAGACGGAGGAAGAATTGGCAAGAAGGGCAAATGTAGCTGCACTCTACATACACAAGTAGATGGCGGAGAGAGGCCTGATCCTCTCATCTACAAAAATTACAATATTTATGTGGTTTTTAAATTTGTGTATTGTGATAGAACAAATAATGATCTTGAAGTAATCCAATATATGAAAAACTATATAAAAATATTCTCCATACCTTTAATCAATACCGAAATGTGTGTTGTTAATTATATAAGCACATTACATAATTTTTCGTATTCTATTATTGGAGAAGCTGAAAATGTAAAAAATATACGTATAAAATTTCATCACAAAAGATGGATAATTATATAGATTATGTTATAATTAGATTATTATTGATATTAACTATTAGTTTATATAATAATAGTAAAATTAAAAAATATTTAATAGAAAATACTAGTAAAATTATATTATTGTGTATAATTCAATTTCAAATGTATCTGATTTAAATATTGATAACTTCTTATAATAAAAGTTAAAAAGAACTTCAAAAAAAAAACAAATAAGGCATGCGTGTTTAATATATTCAGACTTAATTCATGTAGGTTTTCTTTTTCTTTCTTCCTTTTATTGAGCAACGTAAAACGTAGTTAAAGCAGTGCGAGTGTTTGCGTATAAGATTATGCAATCAGGATTGTTGTTTATCTCGGAAGGTTGGGAACGGAGTGGATGTTCTTCTAGCACTTGTAAGAGGATTCAAGGGTTCGTCATTTGTGCGTGAACAAAAGGGCGTTCTATTCAAAAATTAATTAATTTACTCGGCGCAAACGCTAATGAGAGAGCGATTCTATTCGAGTTCTGTCCTATACAGTTCACGTTTTTATTAATGAACAAAAAAAAACTGAATTTAAGTATGTTTATATTTTTATTTTATAACTATATATTAATAAGTTTCTCGATCAAAACAAAAAACCTTGGCTAAATTATTTTATTATTTCTAATTTTTAACGATATACATTTACTGGTAAAAGTAGATATATTACGCTGCTGTCAGATTTATACTTATATTTACGGTACATAATTGTTAAATGTATACATTTACGGTTTATGTACTTTCACTGTAACATATTTATTTAATAATATACTATATAGTTTCTTGCCAAATATCATAATACCACATCCACAATTTATTTAAAAATTTAAATTACTACAGTATAATTTATATAGATGCAATTGTCATGTGCTATTCTGGGTCTGAACTGTCGTATACTTCAGTATCTCTATGAGCTCCTGACTATAGTAATCCAACAACAAAGATATCGTTTTCATTTTCTTACTAGAAGAATCAGGATTTAGAAAACGTATATTATATGTCGATTATATAAATATAATATACTATAGCCACTAGGTATAGTTCGTAGGGCCGACAAGATTTTTTTTTCTGGACCCACGAGACTTTTTGGGGCCCACAAAACATATAAACATATTGCAATGAAGTAGCTAAGATGCCAATATCCCACAATAAACTTGAATGTATTAAATAATAAGAAATCAAATTACAACTATTTGATTCAACTAAATAATGGTTAATAACATACATGAAGAACTTGCAAATTGTGTTAATTAAAAAAAAAATATAGTAAACACTCGATAAATTACTGCGGCTAATGAGTAATATATTGCGTAAAGATCAATTAAAAAAATAACAGCCATTAAATTGTAGCCCATTAAAATGGAAAACGAATAAAACAGGGTGGATACAAACGAGAAAGATTAAAATTACACATACAAAAAAAATAAACAAATCAGAATTAAATTAAATATTGACTGTTCGAACGCAATTATTCGAATTGTAATTTACTCGTACGTGAAGCACATCACTAATTGCGGTTCATTTTCGCATGTTTACTATTTGATTTTTTTATTCCCAAACCGCACTTTATATTTAGTCAGCATATAAACAACATATATATTATTTTTTATGTGAACGGGACAAATTTAATTTTTTGCTTCGACGCTGGGAATTAAGGTAATAACGTTGGTATTAGGTTCTCGTGGATTTGGGATTTGGCCTAGGTGCAATGCAATGCCTTCGGGGGGTTTTCTTTTGTGTTGACTTTGTTGCATGTGGGCGATACAAAAAGAAGTAGTGAAGATTTGCAGCTAGTTTGCAAAACTGGAGAGAGGGCAAGTGTGTATGAGAGAGATGAAGCTGGATGGGAGACAGCATAGGGAGCGAATTGAGATTAAGGAAGTCTCTGAACAAAGTAACCCAAGTTGCACTATTCCGCCGCGAAATTTATGTAATATATTCCGAAAGGGTAGCTTTTGTAATGGCACAGAGAGGGTGCACGCTGCCAAAGCACTCGCTATAAACAAATTTATCATATTGTGGACGAGGCGTTCTGTTCATCAGCATATTTAACCGCCTGCGCTTCGGATAAATATTAACAAACAAAATATTTTTTTTGTGCATGAGTATTATTTAATGCAAATTTTTGTTGTTCAACGAAATACGCCATAGCGCAGCGACAAAAAAAAAACTATGGATTTCCGAAGTCTATTTAATCCTGTAATCCAACCAACTGAATTACAATACTAATCCATTTTTGCAAATGCACTTTTTGAATAAAATAGTACAACTTTTGTATCTATTTATCAAATATATTAATAGTATTAAGTAATACTTTAATAAATCATAATATGTACTGAATCCGGCGCATCTACTAATTATTTTTTTAAATATTATTCACAAAAAGGACCTCAATTAACGGAAATATGTTAACCGGTTTTACCGACAAATATGATTACTAAAATAACCGGTAAATTTTGATGTATTAATATGATTTTTCAACATAATTTTGTTGTTTTACAGCGCGCTTTTTTTATGGCGCCAAAATCAGAAATACTTTTACGTATTCATAAACGAAGTAAACTTATCGGATGTTGTAAAATTTGTGCCCAATCTTCTAGAATTTTACATCAATAAGATAATTCTAATTGAATTAATTTGCCATTACTAAAACTATTGTCTAAATTATTTATTTCAATTCAAAATTATAACTAATTTGAAGCTAGTTACACCAAACTTTACTAAATATTCTTTTCGCGCGGAAAGTCCAACTTGTTTTTTTATAACAATTATACTTTATTTACAAAATCCTAAAAAAGTTTCTTAAGCTATCTGTACAAATATCAAGATTTTATCCAAATCATTCGATTAAATATTACCGCCATGATGAAAATAGCGACGTAAAAGAAAATTACTCTGTAGCTTTAAACATGTAAAAATCAATTCATACATATCTTCAAGAATCTGGCAAAAAGTGACTTTGTTTTGCCTTAAGACACTAAAAAAGAAGTTTAGTATTAGAGCAGGGTTTTCCAAACTGTACATCTGTGCCACAGGGACACCGTGAAAGTTGAAGAAAAACAACTATTTAATTAGAATTAATTAGTATTTAGAGCTTATATTTTTTTATATTAAACTTATGATTTTTTTAATAATAATAATTTATTGGCCAAATCAATACATAAGAAAAAGTACATTCTATACATAAATTTAAAAAAAATTATATATATTTTTTGGTTCATATATTATTATTATTTTAGCATTATAACTTAAATTTATGGTAAAAATTTATTAATTCATATTTTTCATAATGTTTTGAAATAAATTAATTTAATTCATCTATAATAATGAAAACTACAAATCATAATATATTAGTTACATGCAAAAGCGTTTAAAATCGATTTGCAAATGTAATCATTTTAATAAGAGAATAATTATTTAAACATCCACCTACATAATCAAGTTTTATATGAAAGGAAAGTTGTTACTATAATCTAAATTTTGATAAATAAAAAAAAAATTAAAAATCTAATTAAAACACGGCCAAGAAACTAAAACCTAATTTTTCATTTAAGATGCTAATGAAGAGCGTTTAAAGTTTTTGCATTAAATTTGAAGTAGTATTTAAAAAAGATTTTTTAAATTGCATTCATAAGTTTAAATCAACATCACACCGATAAAATTTTACTGTATTTAAGACGTTTCACACAGTCCATAGATTAAACGTATTAAAAAATTATTATTATTTTAGCTTGTAATGCTAAAATTTATGGTAAAAATTTATTAATTCATATTTTCGATAATGTTTTGAAATAAATTAATTTAATTCATCTTTCATAATGAAAACTACAAATCATAATATATTAGTTACATGCAAAAGCGTTTAGAATCGGAATCACATCGATTTGCAAATGTAATCATTTTCATAAGATAATAATTATTTAAACATCCACCTATATAATCAAGTTTTATATGAAAGCAAAGTTGTTATTATAATTTAAATTTTGGTAATTTAAAAAAAAATATTAAAAATCTAATTAAAACATGGCCAAGAAACTAAAACCTAATTTTTCATTTAAGATGCTAATGAAGAGCGTTTAAAGTTTTTGCATTAAATTTGAAGTAGTATTTAATTAAGATTTTTTAAATTGCGTTCATAAGTTTAAATCAACATCACACCGATAAAATTTTACTGTATTTAAGACGTTTCATACAGTCCATAGATTAAACGTATTAAATGAAAGATAATAAAAGAAAATTCATTTAAAATTGTGTATTCAATTAATTTGATGTTATAAAACTTTCGTTGTTGAAAGTAGATAATGTTTTTTTTTCACTGTAATGGTTTATTAACAAGTTAACAGCTGTAACCGCATAATTTAGCCCTTAATAAAGTTTCTCACTCAAACTGTTTATATGCAGAGTAAATAACGATTATATACATAACAAGTGGAGCTACAGATTGCCGCAGTTAATAATACTGGAATGGTGCAAAGGATCGGGGGTTTTGCCGAAAGACGAAGGGTAAAGCATTTTGAAGGGCGGTGTGGTGCGGGTCGGCAATGACGGAAACTAAATTTCCGGTGCCTCTGGCCGCAGGAATGGTTATTATATTCATTCATTCAGGCCCATCTTGGCTGCCAGCAGCATGCAGTATCCAAAACCCACTTGATATGACTGAGGGCTGCGAGATAAACACCCATCGTGCGCCAGCT